CACCTCATCAATTGGAACTGCACCTAGCTCCCAACAAATGAAGGAGGTCTCAGTGTAGGGAACATCAAGCATAGTAACCGAGCCTTACTATCCAAATGGATTTGGAAATACATCACCGAGCCTAACTGGCTGTGGAGGAAGCTCATCTAGAAACCTAATGGATCTTATGGAAGCTAGTATCAAGGTTAAACAAAATTTGAGCGGTTTTATCCCGGCCATCATTGAACTCCCATCATCATCGGCTTCTCCCCTTTGCGTGACCATGGACCCATTCTTCTCAGAGGAAAACCATTTTGGTTACATGCCGGAATCCATGGAGATCGGCAGAAAGAGCAGACGCGTGGGTCTTCCCCTTTCTCAAAATACTCATCCGTACCATGGAGAAGCAAAAAAAACAGAGCCCCCTACCACTGTGTCTAGTTTTACAGCCCAAGGATGTGACCATACATCCGATTTAAGACCTCTGGATAAAAGCAAGGATGCTTTTGAGGATCAACTTTCCTTTTTGGAGAAAGAACAAATTAAAACCCCTGCACAAGCCGAGACCCCTTCCTTATCCTTTGGTCCTACACCTGCAGATGGTGACATCTCAACCTCTGCTTTGCATGCGCCCTCTGCCGTTCCACACCCACCTTTTGAACCTTCTCCCCCACTGCCAAACCAAGCTACTTCTAGCCAAAATCAACCCCTTCTCCCTAACCCCACAGATCTGACGCACTGTACTTTATCCAAATCAATCACCATTGGCCACAAACCCTCTTTGTTCATTCCTGGAACAAAGCACTCCTCCTCCCTTGTCTCATTACCTTCCGAACTAGACACAGAGGATTACCTTTCCAGCCCTTACACCACTTATCCAAACTCTCCTTCCTCTGTGCCAAACCCACCTCACCCACTTGAACCTTTGCACCAAAATCGGCCTATCCCCACTGAAGCACATCCCCTGGCCATGGATGCTCCCTTCCCTTATTACCCTTTCTTGCCTCACTTCCCCCAACAAAACCATTTCTTGGGCTTCCTTTTTCCTTGGCTCGAAGAACACAGGCTCTGTATTACAGCCATCCCTTCAAGGAAGTACAAAGGGAAGTTCTCGGTGAAGCAATCAAAGGAGCTTAGGGAATTGAAAAGTCTCAAATCTACAGTCACTTGTGAAAAGGATCAGTCTTCAAATCAACCTTTGGGGTTGCATCTACCTATATGATAATAATAGCTTGGAACATGAGAGGCCTTGGTTCCTGGCAAAAAGGGCCCTCGTCAAAGACCTCCTCAAGAAGCACAACCCTACCATTGCCATCCTAGTTGAAACCAAATGGTGGTGTGTTGAAAAAACACTTATAAAGACAGTTTGGAGCTCTAGAAATTTGGGCTGGTCCTCTCTAAACGCTCGTGGCAGCTCTGGTGGAATTTTAATCCTTTGGAACGATTTTTCTTTCACTGTTGCAGAGGTGATAGAAGGTAATCATTCTCTTACCATCCATTTCTTTCTCACTGATGGCTTCTCTTTTTGACTCACAGGAGTTTATGGTCCATCTACCTCTGAATCAAAATCGGATTTCATCTCTGAATTATCAGACCTAGGGGGCCTCTGTAGTGAAAATTGGGTTATTGCAGGTGATTTCAACCTTATTCGATGGTCGCACGAAAATTCAAATGGGAAGCGACCAACTAGGAACATGAGAGCTTTTAACTCCTTTATCTTTGATGCAGGCCTCATTGATATAGCCCTCTCCAACGGCAGATTCACTTGGTCTGATTTTAGAGATCCTCCAACCTTAACCCTTATTGACCGCTTCCTCTTATCTGAATCTGTTATAAACAAATTCTCCACAGCCACCACTAAAAGATGGGAGAGAGTCACATCCGATCACTTCCCCATTGCTTTGACTCTGGGTAAGCAAAAATGGGGACCCACACCTTTTAAATTTGAAAATATGTGGCTGCAGCACCCTAACTTCCTAAACTTTGTGGAATCTTGGGGAAAAACAACCCCTTGCGAGGCTGGCCTAGTCATGGCTTCATCCAAAAGCTCAAAGGTTTGAAAGGAGCTATCAAATCTTGGAACGTAGAAACTTTTGGGTGCATACACTCCACAAAGGTTGCTTTGTGGAGGGAACTTCATCAGATTGATTTGGCTGAAGATTTGCTTCAACTATCAGCTGATCATTTTCTCCAACACTTAAAAATTAAATCTGAGCTCCTGAATCAGAGATGCAAACAAAAGTGGCACCTAGAAGGTGATGAAAATTCTCGTTTCTTCCATAAATACATGGCAGCCAAGAGGCATAAGAACACCATCACTGAAATTCTTTCATGCCACGATATTAGCCTCCTAAATGAAGAAGAAATTGAGGCTGAGTTTGTATCCTTTTATAGCCATTTATACACTAAGAAGGGTGGTGGCAGGTACATTCCATCTAATTTGTCTTGGGACCCTATTACCCCTGATCAAAATAGTATCCTTGAAGCCCCCTTTACAGATCATGAAGTTTGGCAAGCAATACAAGCGCTAGGATCGAACAAATCCCCTGGCCTGGACAGATTGACAGCTGAGTTCTTTAAAAAGTCTTGGAACATCATCAAGGAGGACCTTATGAAGGTGTTCCAAGATTTTTTTCAGAAGACCATCATCAATGCAAACCTAAATGAGACTTATATTTGTTTGATCCCAAAGAAAGTGGATGCTAGAAGAGTTGGTGATTACAGGCCTATAAGTCTTACCACATGCACTTACAAAGTGGTTGCAAGAGTTTTGTCAGAAAGACTCAAGAAAGTTCTCCCCTTCACTATTTCTGAATACCAGTCAGCTTTTGTAGCAGGGAGACAAATCCTAGATGCTTCACTCATTGCAAATGAGGTCATTGATGAATTGTTCCGGAAAAAACAGCAAGGTGTGGTCTTGAAACTGGACGTAGAGAAGGCTTTTGATATGGTGGACTAGGATTTCTTTGATATGATTCTCAAAGTGAAAGGCTTTGGAGATAGATGGAGGAAGTGGATTCGAGGGTGTGTCTCATCGGCAAACTTCTCCATTATAATAAATGGTAAACCTCAAGGTAAAATCCACACTACAAGAGGCCTTCGTCAGGGAGACCCGCTCTCACCTTTTCTCTTCATTTTGGTGGCTGATAGCCTAAGTATAATATTGTCCAACGCAGAAAAGAATTCCTCCATTGAAGGCTTCGTCACAGGGAGAAATAACATGCAGATCAGTCACCTCCAATTTGCCGATGCCACAATTCTATTTTCCTCCCACAAGGAATCTTTTTTTAAGAACCTCCTCTCATGTATTAAGCTTTTTGAGGAAGCTTCAGGTTTAAATGTGAATAACCAAAATTCGGAACTGCTAGGCATAAATCGTGAGGATGACCACCTATCCCATCTTGCAACCTTGTTAGGCTGTAAAGTCAGTACATGGCCTAGCTCTTACTTGGGCCTTCCTCTCTTTGGTAAGCCAAAGACAGCATCTTTTTGGGACCCTATTGTTCAGAAAGTAGAGAGAAGGCTATTAAGTTGGAAACACACTCATGCATCAAAGGGAGGGCGTTTAACCCTTATTCAAGCTGCTCTTACTAACCTTCCCACCTAATTCCTTTCTATTTTTCACATTCCCAGCAAAGTTGCTGCCATGCTTKAAAGTCTTTTCCGGAAATTCCTTTGGGCTGGTAATAGCGAGAAGGATAATATTCACCTTCTTTGATGGGATAAAGTGAAGCTGCCTATTGTCGAGGGCGGTCTTGGCATTGTAGATGTAAAGAAATGGAACGAGGCTCTCCTTACCAAGTGGATTTAGTGTTTTCATTGTGAAAAAGATTCTCTATGGAGGAAAGTGATAGCCAAATTTGGAGCCAAACATTTTGGCCTCAAACCAGGCAGCCACACTATTCATAGCTCGAAAGGGCCTTGGAAATCAATATACAAGCATTGCAACCTCATCCATACAAATATCTTTTGTAAAGTTGGTACTGGTCAATCAACCTATTTCTGGACAGACCATTGGAGTGGGAGAAGGCCTCTATCTCTTGAATACCCCTTGCTTTATGACTTATCTCTCAGGAAAGATGCTACAGTTGCTGACCTTTGGGGTTTTTCCAGCAGGGCTTGGAACCTCCATTTTAGGAGGTTGTTGAATGACGAGGAAATCTTGGAGTGGGCTTCCTTTTTGACTTCTATTGCACATTTTCATCCCACAAACAGGGAGGACACTTGGGTTTGGATGCTTGAGAAGGAGGGCACTTTTTCAGTTAAGTCTTTATACCGTGCCAACTTCACCAACATAGTCTCTTCATCTTTGATGCTTTATAAAGCAATTTGGAAGTCATCCTATCCGAAAAAGGTCAAGTTCCTAATATGGGAGCTTAGCCACACATGTCTTGACACTTTTGACAAGCTCCAAAGAAGATGTCCTCGGTGGTTTCTCTCTCCACGTTGGTGCTGTTTGTGCAAGTTAGATGCAGAATCCATTGGTCATATGTTTATAAATTGCTCCCTAACAGTTTATATATGGGCTCACTTCCTTACGGCCTTTGGATGGAATCTCTGCCTACCTAACGATGTTCCAGATTGGCTCAAGACAGTCTTTTTGTTGCACCCCTTTAAGAAGGAAAAGGCGACTGTTTGGTTGAACATCAATCGGGCCTTCACTTGGTTGATTTGGAAGGAGAGGAACTCTAGGATTTTCCATGATATTGAGCATGAACCACAACAGCTGATTGACTCTATTATTTTTTTGGCTGTATCTTGGTGCAAACGTGTAAATCCTTTTAATAGCTACAGTCTTAATTTTCTTATCCCATTGGAGAAGTTTTTTGTAACTTCATTTGGATAGACTTTTGTATTTTTCATGCTATCAATGAAATTTGTTTGCTATCAAAAAAAGAAAAAATCAGAGCTGAGAATATTTATACTAGGTCAAATTATTTTTTGCAAAGCTATTGGGTCGATCACTGAAAAGTTTGTGAAAAATAATAATATGAAGGTGTAGATGCACGTAGATATCATACCACTGTCAGTAGGCACATTTGAGTCAATAGGCCGACTGGTAGAAGCAGAAGCCTCTGTCTCTGGAACACTTTCTGCAAAGTTGGTTGTTTTGCAACTTTCTTCTTCAAACTTAACTTTCTTGTCTAGAACAATGTGGGAAGTAGATGCATTCTCCTGTCCACTGCTTTCTTGAGACTGAGATACAACTTTGTCTGTAGTATCCTTTCTCCTTTCACTGTCTTTCACTTCTTCTCCATCCTTCACTTTACTTGTACCATCGCCGACCTCTTCTTTATTACTAGGTACAAGCTTTTCATCATCCCGTGCCTTACTGTGGGTAGAACTGGCCTCTTGTTTGTCAGTTTCAACATCTGCAGTCAATTGAGTAATATCTGGCACA